ATTTTGCCCTCTGCTCCGTAGGAGGTTTCTGTCTTCCCTGAGCCTGGCTCAGTTTGACAGGTATGCTTACCACCTGATGCTGTCCTTGGAATGGGTCATACCCAGTGTACCTATAATGGGTACTTAGTGTCAGAAGCAAAAGCCTTCTGGGCTCCTCTGCTGCTTTCCTGGATGAAGGAAAAAAGTGATAAGAATGCCCATCACCTTTTTCTACTGCTTCCTTTAGTCCCCAGAGGACATACGCAGCACAACATTTCAGAGAAGCCAGTTTCTTTTTGAGAACCGACAAGTAAAGAGACTATTTAAAAGAAACAAGGAATGGAAAAAAGCCAGTGCACAGTAGGAGATAGGAGGGTGGAAGTTTCATCATTTTTGTTCATGGCAGACAGGGAACACTAGTTACTGGAGCAGCAAGCTCTCTCTTTCTCATCTTTCTCACTTGTTCAGTGGCAGTGGCCATGGCGGCAATGGTGGCTGTGACATTGAGTAATGGGTCTCTTCTCCCTTCTCCCTTCCCTTCCCTTACCTTGTTCCATTATGCCCCATGTTCCTCTGGGCACCTTCCTGCTCCCTCCTTTTAGGATGAAAGAAAGGAACTCTATGTTGTCAATTCATCAAGTATTTATTAAGCATCTACTATGTGCTTAGTACTTAGTACTACATTGTACTAAGTGATGGGCTACAAAGAAAGGAAAAATAGTTCCTGTTCTCAAGGAGCTCACATATAATGAGGGAAGCAACATGCCCATAGTTGAGTGGAAGATGGACTGAAATGGGGAGAAACTTGAGAAGGAACACCAAGCAGAAAGCTGTAGTGCTAGTCCGGGTGTGAAGTGATGAGGGCTTGTACCAGGGTAGTAGCAATGTCAGGGAGAGAAGAAGGTGTCTTTTTGGCAACAGATTGAATTTGGCAGGGGGTAGAGGATTAAGAGAGAGTGAAGAACCGAGGATGACACTTACTTAAGTTGTGAGGCTGGGTGATTGGAGCAGTGGTACCAGAACCCTGGACAGTAACAGGGAAGTTAGGAAGAGGGGAAGGTTCAGAGGGAAAGGTAATAAGTTTGGGTTTAGACATGTTGAATTTAAAATGTTTACAGGACATCTAGTTCAAGACAGGAGAGAGCTTAGGCCTGGATAAACAGATTTAAGAATCATCTGCATAGAGACCATTAGAATTGGCAATTTAGTCATTGGTAACTTTGGAGAAAGCAGTTTCAATTGAATAATGAGGTTAGAAGGTAGATTTCAGAGACCTGAGAAGATCAGCAAAAGGAAAGGAAGTGGAGGCACTGATTATATATGGCCTTCTCAAGGAATTGATTGCCATTGGGTGCCAATAGATCAAGTGAGGGTTTTTTTTGTTGTTGTTGTTGGTTTTTTTGGGGGGGGATAGGCAATGGGGTTAAGTGACTTGCCCAGGGTTACACAGCTAGTAAGTGTTATGTGTCTGAGGCCGGATTTGAACTCAGGTCCTTTTGAATCCAGGGCTGGTGCTCTATCCACTGCACCACCTAGATGCCCCCAAGATCGGGTTTTTTGAGGATGGAAAAGATGTGGGCCTAATGGTAAGCAGTAAGGAAGCAGTCAGTAGACAGGGAGATAGTGGAGATTAGTGAGAGAGTGAGGATAATAGAGGGTGCAATCTGTTAGAGAACATGGGATGAATTGGGATCACTTGTACATCTTGAGGGGTTTGCCTTGGTAAGGCGAAGGGCCATCTCCTCATTTGAGACAGAGAAGGACAAACAGTAACAGAAGGTACCCGACTGATGTGAGGTAGCCGGGAAGGGAGAAGCTCTTAACATTTTCCAAAGAGAGGGATGGGGTAGGATGAGCCACAGGAGGTTTGAGAAGAGATGAAAAGGTTTGGAAAAGCTGAAGTGGAGAGTGGCTTCTGACAGGTCAGGATAGAAGAGGTCACTTACCATGATTTCACATTTCCTTGATCATTATTTGGTGTGGTGTGAATTTCAACCAGTGTCTCTGATAAGGGCTTCATTTCTAAAATATGTAGAGAACTGAATCAAATTTATAAGAATACAAGTCATTCCCCAAT